CCCTCATTGTGGTGGGCCAGTGGGACTACATGCAAAGGGCAGAGCGGAGCTGTCTGCCCTGAATGGCTGCAGTATCCCTCCCTGCCGCCAAGTCCCTAATGCTCGGGGGTGACCGGCCTGCCCGGTGCCTCTGCCGCCCCCTAGGGGTGGGAGTGAAGGCTGGCCAGCAGTAGAACAGCTTCCCCCTGCTTTGCCTTTGGCCACTGCCCTCCTTTCTATCCTGACCATGGAAGCAGATGGTGGTCCCAGAGGCCAGTGAGTAGAGACAAAGCTGCCAGTGCCTGGGGCTGAGCCATCGTCAGGCAGATGAATGGACCCTCAGCAAGCCAGGCTTGTGGACGGACGGATGGGGGCTAGGCTGAGAAGCGTGCCCACCTCTGGGGGAAAGCCTGTGCTCCCAGCCCAGGAGGCTGGGATGGCAGGGACCCCAGCTCCCAGGCCTCTTATCCCAGACGGGGGACGGGGGGGACGGAGGAGGGGGGGCCTCTGGCTGTGCTGAGGGGAAGGCTAGAGCCCTAGCACGGCCCTTTGAGAAGCTAGCTTTTTGGATCTGTAGCTCTTTAGTTCCTTTGGGAAGATACCATAAAGAGAAGAAAAGGACCCCTTGCCTGGAACGGGTACTCGGGCCCCACTGCCCATCCCGGGGCCCCTCTTTTTTTTTTTTTTTGGTCGGTTGTGGGGCTTGAACTCTGGGCCTGGGAGCTGTCCCTCAGCTCTTCAGCTCAAGGCAAGCACTCTAACACTTGAACCACAGTGCCACTTCCGGTTTTCTAGTGGTTTATTGGAGATAAGAGTCTCACAGACTTTCCTTGCCCGGGCTGGCTTTGAATTGTGATCCTCAGTGGCTAGAATGACAGGTGTGAGCCACCAGAGCCCGGCTCAGGGGCCCCTCTTGTTGGTGCAGCTGTTTGTGCCCATAAGAGGCCGTGTTGCACCCCAGCAGTGGTAAAACAGACAGGCCTCACACTGCGACCTCCTCCAAGATCTGACCCGAGCTCAGAAGAGGCCGGTCTGCGGCCCAGCACCGTTCCCGCCGCCGCCTGCTGGGCCTCGGTCACACGGAGGCCAAGGCCTGCCCTGTCCCCAGGACAGGCCGCTGGGCCCACAGAGTGAGGGGCCCCATAGTTCCCAGGCCAGGGCGCAGGCCTGCCCTCCACGGCCTGCTCGTCCCAGGCGGAATCGCTCTGCCATCAGCCGGGGCCAGGGTTCAGCCGATAAAGATGCTGTTGCGTAAAAAAAATCAATACTGGCTAGCGGTGGCCAGGCGGCGGCTGAGCGGTAGCAAGGCACTACCCTTCTGCCCACATGCAGCTGGGTTCTGACCACAGGTGCCTCCAGGCTCAAGTCCAGCTTCAGGCGGCCCAGACATAGACCGAGCTCACCCCTTCCTTATGGGCGGTGGTGCCCCGACCCAGGGCCACCCTCGGGAGGTGGCTGGGCCTGAGGGAGAGGCTGGAGCCTACAGAGCAGGAGCGGCCAGGGCCCGGAGGGGGCCTGGAATAGAGAACTCAGCTCCTGCCAGCAACTACCCCCGAGAGCCAAGCCAGAGCAGGCTCAGGGAGGGGGCTCTGGGCTGGAGGCCTCCAGATGGCCTCTGACCACACAGGAAGTGGAAATCTTCACACAGGGAGGCTCGGGCTCTGCACCGACTACGCCAGCCCTGAAGGGCTTTCTGAGGGGTCCTGGCCAGCAGAAGCTGCAGCCAGGCGGGCCTGTGAGTCTGCCCAGGGTGGTGGGAAGGGTAGCTGGAGGCCTGGGCCGGCTCCTCATCTCTGGCACCACTCCAGGGTGCCTCAGCATGGCTTGACACACAGCTGCCCCGTGTGCAGGTTCCGAGCCGGCATTGTCTGCGGAGCCATGGCTGGCTGTTCAGCAGCGGCAGCAGCATCCACAGCCCAGCCAGAGCCCCGGCTCTCAGCCACGCTGGGCCTGATTCATGCCCCAGAGAGTTTTCTGGAACTTCAGCCTGGGCCTTCCTCCCCTCCCCCTTCCTCCTTTTTCTTTCCTTTTCTGTGGCTTTTATCAAAGGCAAACAACAGGATCCCTGAGATAGGACCGCTCCCCACCTGGTCTGCTGGCGCTGCAGGGCAGGGCCGGGCCGGGCAGGAGTGATGAGCCGATTAGATTAGTGGGTGCTGGTAGTAACAGGTGGGCACCCATGTGCCAGCCCCAGAGCCCACCATTCAGGACGAGGGTTCGTGGTCCCCGCCATTCACACACACAGCCCGGCCCCTTTGGGGGTGGGGTGACTGGCCGAGGAGGGGCCCACTCACAGTCTCCCGAGACTGAGCTGTCAGCCAGCTGCTGCGGCCAGGTCGGGAGGCTGAGGTCCAAGGACCAAAGTGGGCAGTGCCTTGACTTGGGCACCAGGCAGCCAGGACAGAGCCCTGAACTCCCCACCAGGAGGGAGCTCAGAGTCTGGTCTTGGCAGAAGGGCCTCGCCATGGCCTGGCCACCGTGCTCCAGCTCTCCAGGCCTCCTTCACGCCCAGGCACAGAAGAGGCCTGGCAGGGTTGGAGCAGGGTTTCACCGCAGAGGGAGTCCACCCTCCCACCCTGGGGCCCAGGAGGAGGCAACCACCTGAAACCGCGTGGGCACCCCACATGCAGCCAGTGGAGAGTTAGTGCCTGCTTCTGCAGCTGGGTAAACAGGCTCCGCGGGCACCCAGACATCAGGACAGAGGCAGGGCCTGGTGTGGGCCTGTGGGTTCCAGACCTGAGTTTTGTGGCCAGAGCTACCACCATCTCTCAGTAAGGCCCCAGCTGGTGAACAGAGCCCAGACGGGCAGTGCCCGGCCCTGCCTGTCCCTAGGGGATATCACCCAGGCCACAAGATCTGGTGGTGTCCAGAGCCCGGAACCCTGCAGTTCCTCAACCCCAGCACGTGTGTTCTTGAAAGGATGCATGTGGGTTTGTCTGAAGCAGTCCCGTCCCAGTGCTGGGACTATGGTTCCTGCAGGAGCTCCGCCTCGGTCTCATGGGGAAACTGAGACCAGAACCAGAGCGTCAGCATGGCCCCTCACACCTCGCCTGGCAAAAACGTGCGGAGGTGCTGGCCGCGGCGGCTGTCCACCCGTCACCTCGTACCCTCTCCGCCTGAGCCCTGGGAGGCACTGGCCGCCATAGGCAGCCTCCTCGCACCTCTCCTGTCCCCCCATTTTGTGTCCCGCTGGGCATGTGACCGCTGGGTACTAGCTCCACCTTAACACCTGCTTGCCCTGTTTGGGCCACACGGGTTGGAGCAGGAGTGGCACTCATTTCTCTGAGCAGGGAATGGTAAGCATTGCACGGCTGCCGTGGCCACTGGCACTGGGACTGGAGTACACCGGGCACAAACCACTGTGCTCCCCTCCCGGCCCAGGCCTCACCAGGCCCCAAATCCACCCTCAGGAGGCATCTTCCAAGAGGGCCATCCTGGACCAAGGAGGCAGGTTGTCATGGTAACCACAGTGTCAGCCCTGCCCCTCAGGTCTCTGCCACCCCCCTCAACATTACGTTTATCGAGGGCCAGCCCTCCCTCTGGCGGTGTGTGATACCCAAAGGATGGGCGGCCACTTGGGAAACACCAACCATGCTCTTATCTGGACGTCGGGTCCACAGCCTGATCTCTGATTAGGGTGGGGGCTGTTTGCCTGCAGGTAGGCGGGGTGCAGTCTCTGCCTGCCTCCCACAAGTCTGAGAGAGCTGGCGCTCAGAGCTGTCCATGGACGGGACTGCCCCTGCCCCTGCCTTCAGGGTGGCCAGACCCTGTCCCATGAAAATGCTCCCAGTGCTGAAAGATGGGGGGAAGTGGCTTGGCCACTTAGTTCCGTATCTTCTGGGGTCCGGGTACACCTCAGGAGCTGTGTATGTAGGGAATGTCCCTGTTCCTAGAAGAGGAACAGGCGCCAAGCCTACGTGGCTCAGGGCTCCCGCTGGGGTCCAGGCCGCACTGCCTGCAGCTCCTCCACCTCCCTGAGGATGGCTCCTGCCCACCCTGGTAGCCAGCTGCCTGCCAAGCTCTGTAGGGCAGGGCAGGAGGGAAGCTGGTAGGACTGTGGGCCAGCCGTGTCCTGAGTGGGCTGGCCTGGTCCCGTGGCCATGACCACTGCACAGCCTACCTTTTTTCTCTTCCCCCACCGGGGCTGATAAAGGGCCGCAGGGCCTTCTCGGCCTCTAGTCCTGGTCCACTGCCACCTTATCTGCCCTGGTGAAGACAAAGGCCCGGTTAAAATGTCTCTGAAGGGCCTCCTGGCGTATTTACACGTTATCTCTGCCATTAGGCGGACAGTTATCTGATAATCGCGCCCATTAAGGCCGCAGCCTGCTCGGTGGGGCTCCAGGAAATAGGGCCGCCGCCGCGTTCCAGCCAGGGGACCAGGCCAGGCCACGTGAGGCCTCGTGGGCCGCGGCCCTGGCGGTGAGGCCAGAGTGGCACACCTTTGCTGGGCAGAGGGTGTGCGGCCACGGAGGCACCTCCCCGAGGGAGTGGCCGCCACTGACCTGCTGTCCAACGAGGAGGAAGGCAGATGCTAGCCACGCAAGTGAGGTCCTGCAGCCAGCACCACAAATCAGCAAACCGGCAAACACTGGATGGGTTTAGGGACCCTGAAAATCCAGGATGGCCTCATCTCAAGATCCGCATTTATCCACACCTTCGGAGACCTTGTTCCACACAGGTCACATTCATGGGGCTCAGGCAGACCACAAGGTCACCGGCGTGGGATGCAGGTAGATCACACAGGTCACAGTGTGTCATATGACTATCGTCCCTCCACTACACACCACCCTGCAGACAGTGCCCAGGGCCTTCTCAAAGCCCATTGTCAGGCTGCCCACCCACACCAACCCCTCATGCGGTCTCTCCAGTCCAGGGACCCCGGGACCCCCTACCATCGCCCGCTCAGACCCCCCTCTCCCTCTGCCCCTCTCCTGGCGGCTCCGGTGGTGCCAGAGCTCCTGACGTCCATGGGCCTCCTCAGTCACCTGGCTGAGCCCTCACCCAGCCCTGTCTCTCCACAGAGGACCTGGAGCTGGAGCTGCGGGACGGGCGGAGGTGCGTGCGGGCCCGACTCAGCCTGGCTGAGGGCCTGTCCTGGGGCCCATTCCAGGGGACCATCCAGACCAGAGCCGCATCCCCCGGGCAGACAGAAGAGGTAAGAGGGCCAGGCCCTTGCCCTCTGTGGCATCTGCCCTTTGGCCCCTCAGGCCAGGAGCATTGGCTGCTTTGTGCCGAGGCAGCCAGGAGATGGGGACCCCGGGGCCTGGAGGGCGGGTAGGCCCCTGGAGTGGTGGGACAGGTCCTTCAGGCTGCTGGAAGGGACCGACCGTGGCCTCCAGTGGGGGTGGGTGGAGGGGTGAGGCAGGTGCTATGCAGGGCAGCGTGCCGGGCTGCTCTTGCCCTCACCTTGGGGTGGAGGGAGGCTGAGCAGGGCGTTTGCATCAGCGTTCGCATCCCGGACACTGTGGGCTGCCGGGGGGGGGGGGGAGGGCCGTGCCTGCCCTGCCCTGCTGAGACCTTTGAGGCCGGGACAGATGCTGTGGGTGCCATGGCCAGAGTGGCTCCTCTCCCTGTGGCACCCCTGCCTGGGCAGGGCCCTCCCATGGCTGCCCGGGACGGGCTCTGCTGCGGGGCCCACGCTGGCTTTATGTCAGAGGCCCCTCTGTTTAGGGCAGGTTCCTCATTGACTTGGAAAAGAGCACCAGTGTGTAGAGGGCAGCGAGCCTGGACCAGGGCGGTGGTGGGGAGGGGCAATGGGAAGGGGCAGTGGGGGGGGGCGTGGTCCAGGCAGGCAAGGGGCAGCGTTGCTTACCCATGGCGACAGTCCAGCAGCGCCCTGCGCCCTGGAGCTGCACCCACCGCCTGAACTCCCCTGTCCTGATGTGTTCAGACGTGGCTTGACCCTGGGCGTACTGGCTGGCTGGTGCCATGTGCTACCGAGTCTCGGTCCTGAGGGTGTAGAGCAGCCTTCGGGGCGCCCCGGGGCAAGAATGGGGCTGCCTGAGGTGGGCCCCCCCACACCTGCTTGGAAGCTGCCCGCAGGTGGGTGTCCCCAGCCCCGGGACCCTGTGCCTGCCCCGCCTGCCTGGGTGGTGGTGCCTGTCTGATGTGGGAAAGCTCCGGAGCTGGCATGCGCAGCGCCGTGGAGGCCGACAGGCCATAGGTGAGACGGAGGAGGCTGGCCCAGGCCCCGCGTGCCCACCGCCATGCCGAGGCTCTGGGTAGCACTGGGCCCGGACCACTTCCCACTCCAAGCTCAGGCAGGCCTCCGCTTACTCTGAGCCTGGATTTCTCCACCTTTGGGACCTTCGGCTGGACTAAGGAGCCAGTGGCTGCCTTTGGATACAAGCCTGCAGACCCTCCCGCCTCCCTGCAGGGGAGAGAGACGGGCTGGCTGGGCACAGTAAATGAGATAAACCCTCAGTGGTGTCTGGCCCTGGGCATGCCCAGTGGGCACTGTGCCCAGCGGCTCTAAGGAGGAAGACCCTTGGCCTGGGCCCAGACAGGGACATCAGAAGGGCAGCAGAAGGCCGCCATGTGGGATGGACGCCAGGTCTGCAGGGAGTGCATGCGCCGATGTCACGGAGGCAGGCAGGCCGCCGTGGCTTTTGTGAGGTTTTCTGGTTAGAAGGTGGACTCTGGGGGCAGCAGGAGCTGTGCGGCTCCCAGCTCTGGCTTCTCAGCGTGCTGCCCCCTGACCATGTGTAGTGATGGCACGGGCAGGCGTGGCGGAGAGCCAGACGGGTCCTCGCCCATCCCTGCTTCTCGTCTCTGTCCCGCCGTGCCCTCCGCCCCGTGCGGCACGCGCCTCACCCGGCCTCCCTGCCCTGCGGGAGGAAACCACTGCCCCCGTTCCCGGCTCTACCTGGGCGTCAGTGGCTCACGCCTGTCATCCTACCTACTCAGGAGGCTGAGATCTGAGGATCACGGTTCAAAAGCAGCCTGGGAAGGGAAGCCTCAGACTCCCAACTAACAAAATAGTTGGAAGTAGAGCTATGGCTCAAAGGTTAGAGCGCCAGGCTCTGTGCAAAAGCCAAGCAGAGGTGGAGACAGTCGTTGAGTTGGGGGACATGGAGCCCATGGTGCCTTCCTACAGGGCTGAGGGCCATCCTCTTGAAGCCCACCCCTAAGGGACCCTCTCCTGCTCAGGGGCACAGGTCAGGGGTCAGCCAAGGGAGGTGGCACAGGATAGAAGCACTGCCCATCCCCACCCCGCATCAAGCCTAAGAGGGGGCCAGGAAAGCAGTCTGAGGAGCCTAAGGTCTCCCACCCCAGAGAGAAGCAGTAGCTTCCTGCCTGCCTCCCTTCTATCTTACCAGAATTCAGCCTTGATTAACCCTTATCTTCCCAGCAAGCCGCTATCTCTGCCTTGGCGCCGAGCGTCCAGACATACTGTGCAGATGATTGATTTCTGAAAGATAGGCACGTCTTTCCGATACTTCGTTTATTGTCTAAATATTTTTGCTAACATTCAGCGGCCCTTATCGAGCTGGACTGATGGGCCCCATCTTCCCCTTACTGCGTGAGGAAGACATCGCCTGTGTGACCAGGCTTCCTCTTCTCCCTGAGACGTGGCTTTTTTTTTTTTTTTTCTGCTTATGTGATGCTGAGGAATGGAACCCAGGGCCTCAGGCATGCAAGGCAAGCGCTCTACCACTGAGCCACCTTCCGAGCCCTCCCTGAGACGTGGGAGTGCAGTGAGCAGGGATGTGGAGTGGAGGACCTTCCTGCTCGCGGGAGGGACTTGAGCACAGTGGGTGTGAAGTGGAAGACCCTTCGTGGTCTCACCCAGTCTCGGGGCCTGGGCTGGGCACTGTGAGGTTAGGATGGGGGGGCCCAGGCAGGACCTCGGGCTGGGCACTGTGAGGTTAGGATGGGGGGCCCAGGCAGGACCTCGGGCTGGGCACTGTGAGGTTAGGATGGGGGGGCCTCAGGCAGGACCTCGGACTGGACACTGTGAGGTTAGGATGGGGGAGCACCCCAGGCAGGACCTCGGGCTGGGCACTATGAGGTTAGGATGGGGGGGCACCCCAAGCAGGACCTCGGGCTGGGCACTGTGAGGTTAGGATGGGGGGGCCCAGGCAGGACCTCGGGCTGGGCACTGTGAGGTTAGGATGGGGGGGCCCAGGCAGGACCTCGGGCTGGACACTGTGAGGTTAGGATGGGGGGCACCCCAAGCAGGACCTCAGGCTGGGCACTGTGAGGTTAGGATGGGGGGGCCCAGGCAGGACCTCGGACTGGACACTGTGAGGTTAGGATGGGGGGCCCAGGCAGGACCTCGGGCTGGGCACTGTGAGGTTAGGATGGGGGGCACCCCAGGCAGGACCTCGGGCTGGGCACTGTGAGGTTAGGATGGGGGGCCCCAGGCAGGACCTCGGGCTGGGCACTGTGAGGTTAGGATGGGGGGGCACCCCAGGCAGGACCTCGGGCTGGGCACTGTGAGGTTAGGATGGGGGGGGGCCCAGGCAGGACCTCGGGCTGGGCATCCAGGATTGGCACACAGGAAGGAAGCCAAGTGACATGGCCCTGAGGGACCACTGGGCATTCTTGATCTGGTGCTGATTTGCTGAGCTTTCTACCACTGCAGAACCAGGAGTTGCAGAAGAGGCTCCTTTGGGGCCAGGCCCAACCAGCTGCAAAGTTAGACACAGAAGAAACAGTGCTAAGGAGTGGGTAGGTGGATGAGTGATGAATAGATGGGTGGATGAGCGGATGGAAGGACAAACATGAGCACACACATTGCCTGAGTGGATAGAGCAATGTGGGTGGATGATGGGTAGTGGATGGATGGATGGATGGATAAACGGACAGAAGACTGGATAGAAGAAAGATGGAAGGATGAGTGGGTTGGCAATAGATGAGTGCATGGACAGACAAACAGTTGGATGGTAGTTGGGGTGGACAGATGATAGATGGGCGGACACAGATGCGTGGATGGGTAGGGATACAAGTAGGTGGATGGCTGAACGCATGGATGCAGCAATGTGGGTGGATGGATGGATGGATAATTAAGTACACGGGTGGTGGACAGATTGATGGGTAGGTGGTGCATGGATAGACGGGTGATGGATGAGTAGGTGGATGGATGGGTAAGTGGGTGAATGGTAGTGAATAGTTGGATGGGTTGCATAGGTGGATGGATGGATAAGCCTGTGGGTGGATACGTGAGTGGGTACATGGCTGATGGCCAAGAGAACAGATGAATGAATGCTCTGGGCGGTGTGTGGGCGGATGGTGCTCATTAGTAGAGAGGGCACGTGGAATCTTGGGTGGGTGGGTGGGTGGGTGGATGATGGACAGAAGTAGGAGAGTGGACATGTGGATTCCTAGGTGGGTTTGTGAGTTATCTGCGCTCCCAGTCTTGTCAGATGGGTATGTGGTGAATGGATGGGTAGGTGAACAGGTGGTGATGAACAATCAAACAATTCCTTCGCTCCAGCCTCGCTCTGCTGTCCAGTGTCCTGCGCAGTTCACTTGCTTTAGCCACGAGCGCACTCTGAGGTCTGTGGGGCCAGGCGGGGCCCTGGCTGCCACGCAGGCCAAAGGCCCCTGCTGCGTACCGAATGGGACCACGGGAGCCCAACGTATGCACGGCTTCCAGGGGTGGATGTGGAGTGGCCATCCCAAAATGGCCAAGACTCCCACCTGGGCATAACCTGGGGCCAGGCCGGGGACGCGGGAGGAGCCCCAAAGGCCGGCACGGGGAACTGCCCCGGGAAGGCGCTCCGAGGCCAGCGCTGGCCAGTGCCCAGGCTCCCGTTAGCTTCACCTGTGTCTCTTGGCCATAGATAAAAATTCAGAAGGGACAGAGGTACCCAGGAAAGGCTTCCTCCTCCAGACCCCCAGGCAGCCGCCCTGCCCATGTTCCAGTAACTTCTGGGGCACCCAGCCCGGGTCTGCCCGCGGCTCACGGACTTGCTGTGGTTCTGGTCCACGTCCCTCCTTCTCACATTCACCACACCTGCACCGCATCACTGAACATCTCGCTGCTCTTACCAGCCTAGTGCTAGCCTGCTCGTCCCCTGCAGCCTTCCAGTCCTGACCACATGGTGCTGAGCTTGGTGTCCCAGACACCGGGCCTGGCTTTCGCCACGCAGCCAGAGCCTCACCATGCCTCCTGGAGAGCACGTTCCTGAATGTGCCCATAATTTTTTC